CTCATCTATTCATCTGCCATTAGCGTAATTGAAAGTGATTAGTTATTTAACAGGGTTAGCTTTTTTAATTTTAGTTTTAAATGACACAATATATCTGTAAACAATATAAAAGAGGAGTAATTAAACTAAGTGATTTGATACATTTTTTTGCTGGCTTGTAGTATACGAGTTGTTTCTAGCTTTGATAGCTTAATAGTTGCACTTTTTAAAAGTTTACACTTTTTAAAATACGCTAGGAAGAAAGAAAAATAGTAAATTTATATTCACCGAAACAATTGCTACCTAGTCACTAACCGGCGTTTTGGTGCAGAAACGAGCGATCTGATTCTCGAAGCTCTTTCCCCAAAACATACACTGGGGACCTCTCAATAACCGTGTTGTTAGTCTGTTGACACTCCCTTTGACGGCCGTGTATTCCCGTCAGACGATTGCAGGCCTCTCCACGAGTTTTCTCTGCTCTCAATTGGATAGCGAGGCTCCAACCCCTCCGATCCCCAACCAATCGATTCGGTGCTACAGCGGAGGACAAGGGCTCGGGCGTGGAGGAGCAGGGCGTCGCCCGCTCACCCGGTGTCGATGGACAGGGCTACGAGCGACCAGCACTGAGAGGCCCTTCAAAGGCTACGAGCGCGTCCTGGTCATAAGTCGCTTCTGTAAAACATCTGTTCTCTGAATGCAAAATACCCTATGTCCATTATTAATCATTTTGCGTTTGACAATGTAATATGCCGTACATCTTGTATTCTTTATAACAGTATATAATAGTTTAGTACGTCGATAGGAAAGATAAACTTTTTAAAAATAATAATTTTTTTTTCATATTTGAAATTTGTAGTATATTATGCTCTTATGTAATGCCTGTTAAGTACTCGATCAGAATTGTGTGATCTATTGTATACAATATTGAAAACACGATAGAAACATTACATTCCCTATTCCTTAGTTAGAAACGGGAATTATCGACTTCAATTATCATTGTGAATATTCTACTTTTATGACATGTCACGGAATAGATATTTTTATAACTTCAAACATCTTTCGCAAACGCCTTTGGAGACATGAGTCTGCGTAATCTCAAAACTTCTGAGCCACTGGGTTTCAAACGGGATTTTGGTATTCTCAGCGTAAGGTTCCCCAGCTGGCCCAGGCCCCAGGACTAAAGCTCTCAGATCTTCTGTAAGATCCCGTACCTTAATCTGGCCTTGCTATCTAGGATTACATGTGTGTGGAAAACACGATTATTTCACGGGGTAGATTTGTCAAAGTATACTGATCTTATTCAGCTTTCTTCTCCACGAAAATTTCATTTTAGGAAAAGACCAGAGATGGCAAAATCGAAATAGGAAAATAGGTTCGATGAACCTTTTTCTTTCTTCAGGGATCATAATCCAAATGTTTAAAATGATTGCTTTTGTGAATTCGATTGCTTTTCCGAAAAACATTATAGGAGCTCTTTCTCCTGTACTTTTCTAGTAACCTTTTCATGTGCCTTACCTAAAAATAGATTCTAATGATTGGGCTTATGAAGACATTGTAGTATCGTGGATTTTCTGCGGGTAACCTATCACGCAGTAAATCTATTCACACTCACCCCAAATATTTGAGACAAACGCTATTCATAAAGTTGACATTCTGTGTTTGTATAATTTATTAGTAATCAATTTTTATTTACAGTTATTCAATAAAAAAGTATTTTTCATTATGAATTCTTTTATCTGATGTAAATTTCGAGTATGTAAAACAGTTTTACTTGCTTACTCCTTTTGAGTACATATTTTCGCCTCTGAGGAACGTTTCCCGCGGTCAATTTAGTTATCCCGAACGCAATGAATTTAAACACAAAAATGAACCAACTTGATTTAGATTTTTTGCTTGCTCGTGCACGTAATGTAAAAAGTCTTGCAAAAAGTAGACTTCGAGACTTGAGCGAATTTATGTTTCGGATTCAGATCACATTTTTTAATAGATGTTTTCGTCAGTCTGTCCGCCCATTTCTCTCTCCCGACTGCTCAACGAGTCAGCCGTACTCCATTCTACCCGTACCCCCATCCGGCCCTACGTCCGTTCGTCTACGAGTCGTGACCTCGTCGATCGCTCACAGGACAGATTCCTTCTATTTCTACACCCTGGACCAGGGAAGTCCTGGATTGCATCCTCTAAGACCTCCCCTACATCTTCATCTGACACGGTGCTCGCCCATTTCTACAGCTGCGAATCCCGCCATTCTTCGAAAAGGGCGACCGTTGTAATGGTTCTGTAGCTTGCAGCATCTCCGTGGCCCCGCTGAGACTCCGAGTCACGACGGTGACCGTTTTTTCCACACTAGCTACGTGGATAGGACGGCTTAAACCACTGTTTGGAGGAGAATTATGAACACTGCAAATGCCAGAATAACCCTCAAGAAGAGAGACACGAATCGAACGCGATGTTTCCTTCCTCATCCATGTCCTAACTTCTATCCCTATACATAAACATGCTAACACTTAGAAGCACTACATTACCACGCATGTCGGGGGGACGTATCCAGGGCGTTTTTCAATTGGGGTAAAAAAGCCCCGCACATCGAATAGCTCGGCGTCATCTCCCTTTCCATGTCCCTTTCCTCGGATATAATATGAACTATACTTATGGGAGTAATGATCATCGTACACTCATCCGGAAAAATAATATCAATCAATCAATCGATCAATCAATCGCGTTCCCATACTGCTACGAACGTGGGCGTGGGAAGCTAGCCTTTCACCTTTCATTTCATTCCCGTTAGCGCTGCCGCCCGCGCCCGCGCGGAATCGCGAAACGGCCGTGAGACGTACGTGTTTCTCCGGGAAGGGCGCACACCCATTCCAGGAGCTTCGGGAAAGCGGTGGGCGAGCCTGGCGGTGCGGCGGGACTCTCTATAATGGGAACAGGAGGTCTTACGCAGCGGGCTGCGAGGGCCACGCACGAGCCCGACGCGGCGACGGCGAAGGCCAGTTGTCTAGGCAGGCTGCGACCGCCCGCGCCGCGCGAGTTGTACGCAGGCCGCAGGGCAAGGGACAGGGATACGGAGCCGTGAGCGGAGCAAGAGACGGACAGCATACACCGGAATCAGTGAATGCTGAATATCGAACTTTCGCAAGACTGAAAGGCAAAGTCTCCCGAGGGCATTGCGCCATTCCGCCGGCGCGCGCGGGAGCGGAGCTCGTTGGGCCCGACACGTTTAAAAACAAAAAAAAAAAAAAAAGAAACGCGAAACTTGGCAGAGTGTAGGTCATGTGTAGTACTAAAACGAATGTTTAGTTCGATAAAATATACATGCACTGTACTACCACGCATGTCGGGACGCCGGTCGGGAGCTTAGAGCGTGTCCCGAGTGGGGCGCTGCCTCGCCGGGGGAGATATTTGGAGGAGGGAAAACTCACAAGCTGACGCGCCCGGAAACATTGCAGAATCAATCAATTTAATTCGGTAAAAATGTATAAATACAAATGTTCAACAATAAAATGTGTTCACGGGTTCATTGAAGCATTCCATTTATTTTTTGTATTAATTTTCTTGGCGAGGCAAATTGGAATATAACGTATGACAATGCCTCTCATTAATACTATGAACAATTACGATCTTGAAAAACATATCGCGATATGTAATCTCATTATGAAGTACATCAATAAAAACCATGCGAAACTTTTGCACGTACGAGGGAGTGTCCATGAGCCGGGCACAGGGCACATAAAGACAGCGCCTACTGTCATTGTGCTATCATTCGCCTAGGGGAATCAAACACGAAGTTTTCAAGCCGCGCGCTCATGCTCAATAGGGCCAAATTGGAAGTGTATCGCAGCGCCTCCACTACTTGACATGTTAACTCTTAACATGTTGAAATAAACTTTGGGGGTTTTCAGCGGGAATAGAAAACGTTACGTCGATCGTTAGTTCGCGTGATGGCAACTAAACTTAGCGAAAGATCGCGAGGTCGCATGGTAAGAGTTTATTTCCAACTACGATTTTTCGTCTTCTATACTGAAGTGAAATGAAATAGTCAAAGGAAAAAACAATAAATCTCTTGAAGAGTATGGTAGTGCGTGCAAATTTACGCAACACTACATGAAGTGAGTATAGGTAAAGGGGAGAGGCGGGAGGAAGCAACACAAACTGGGTGACAGTAGTTAGGTTCAGCTGCTCCTGAGTGGCAGCAGGAAATACGAGCACCAATGCAATCATAACAGCGCCGGTAACTCCAGAAAATATAAAAATAATAGCACAGTTCAGCAAATTTAAATAAAAGGTCCAGCTTGTCAATAAAAACCCTGCCGACATGTTAACAAGCGTGGGCACTAAGTTAACGATTTAATAGTAAATATATACATGCGTTTAGCCTGTTGCAATAGCATCTTTAAGATTCAGAATTACAGCGCTTGCGTTATCAAGCGGCTGGCACGCTCTCGTGGCGACCGTGAGAACTACGTGAATTTATTTCGCTAGTCTGTTTCCTGTATGTACAGGTTATATTTTATTTTATCTTAAATATTCATGAAAACGACGTGTTTTAACGCAATGATAGTGCAATTTCGTTGAAGTCGGTAAAAAATCTGATTCATCGATATTATTCCTTACTGTAAACTCGTATTCTTTAAGAAAAGGGAATGTTGTCATCAGAAATAACACATATACGTGACTTTTTTCTTGAAAGTATCATTTCTTTCATTAATCCATTATAAGCTAATAGGACGCTTAGGATGAAAATTACTTTATTTTATTTCGAAATTTTAACGGCTCCCTCACTCAAAACAAACGTTGTCTCTTTCTTCATCTGAATAGCTTTTACGCCTTGTTTACGTATTCCTTTTTCCGGTCGCCGCTCTGCCCGATAGCAAATCTTGTGTGCGGCGCGGCGCCGCGCCGCGCCAGCCTCTCGGCGAGCGAGAGAGTTCCCCGCCACTTTCTCCGGGTCGAACGCCCGGCCTCCGGCCCCCGCGCCTCGTTCTCTCCCGCGCCGCACACGCGCCCGCGCGCTGCGCTCGATGGCCGCTCTGCCGTGACGGACGGCGACGGCTGCGTCGGCGCGTGCGGTCGCGTAGCCGGCGAAAGGATTCGAATCCCGGTGGGGTACAGGTTGTCGGCGATTCCAGCTGTTCCAGTACTCGGAGGTTCATTTCCATCAATCCTATGGGCGGATACCGGACCAAACACGTGCTCATTCCCGACAGAGAGAGGTGATCGGGCCTCAGGGCATCAGCTGATCTCGGACTGGGGGGGTCCTAGGATCGAGTACCAACGTTCGCAGGATTTTCGACACTAGCTACATAGCTAGGTTGAATTCAGTCACTGTGTGGAGTAGAATTCTAGTAACCGGCTACTCTAATCGGTAATTTTCCGAGGCTTCTTCGATTAATACTAGGTAAATGTCGAAGCAGCCCTAACGGGCCAAGGGCCGTGCGCGATCTTTCCTTCCTCATCTTAGTCCTATCCTTACCCCTTGCTTACACACACACACACACACACACTCATACGCACTACACTACCACACATGCCGGGCGACAGGTCGGTAGCTTCCAGCTTTTCCCGGGTGGGGCGGTGCCCCGTTGGTGAGAGATATGTGGTTGAGGGAAACCCCGCTAGTCGACTGATCGGCGTCGGATCTCAGCATGCAGCGGGGGAAGCTCACCTACCCATCCCAAGGAGAAAACATGCACTACACTAACGGGACTAATTATCTTAGCAGTTGACGCACCCGAAGTCACTAATCAATCAACGTGCTCATCCAAACGCAGACGGAGCGCGTCTATTGTTTGCTCGTTCTCAGCCAGAGGCCGACTCTCACGGGAGGCATGAGAGGAAAGTTTTGCTCACGCAATTTCTCCTTATGAATATAATTTCCAAATTAAATATATTCTTTGATATTGGATAGGAAAATGTATAATGTTTTACATGTTAGTTCTGAGGAAATTGTTTTGAGCGAGTTTTGAAGTAGGCACGTTTTGTTTAGCGATGGGAAAACTATCGAAATCGTTCTGAGGAGAAAGTCTCAGCTATTCCTTCCCCAAGAACGGTATGTGTGTTAATTACCCATCTCACACTGGACGTGCATCCAGAGAAAGAGACTTTTTAAAATTGAGTTATACAGCTCTCCTGAAATGCTATCAACAGCAGTGTCTTTTAACTAGGTTATCATGGGACGTGGGCGATGGCCAACATGTGATAGGATGTGGCCGTGGGGAGGTTGAGTAACTGCCGCACCGTGCAATGACACTTAGGCTTGTCGAAACCTATGTGATGGGGCAAACCGAACCTACAGATTTCATTTCTGATCTCACTGCACGTATGTACATGTATATGTATTTCATTTGAAGTAATTTATTCAATGGCCTTCTTTGTATTGGGAAAAGGACATTTCAATATTGCTCATGTTAATTTTTTGATTTTTAGGAACTCGTATCTCCAAAACTATTTTAATAACAGAGTAGTTTTGTTTAATATTTAACATTTCAACCTTTGTTGATGAAAATCAGCTCAAACATTTGATATACAATCATTCCTTTTTGAACAGGATTTTTTTATTAAATTACGAAGGAAAATTAAAGATTGGTTAATTTTTTAATTTAAATAGCTGACATTTTTGGTAGCTGTGTTGCTGATTATGACTTAACAAACATTGTAGATAATGCTCTAAAAATTGAGCATGTACAACTATTTTTATTAGGCATAAATGTTTCTAAAAATCAGGAATTTGAGTAAATAGACTTCAAAGTTTTGGTGCTCAATTTTGCATGTGCTCAGTCATACAGTGTATTCCTATTCAATATTCTGGGTCATCAGGAACCTCCTCATGGTTTCCCTTTTCTTGCTGGCACGTTTTTTGACAGTGCGTTGGAGGATATGTATTTCTTCCAACAGACATTGCCAATTGTTTCATCACTACGATATGCGTTTTAGTTACACAACAACACTTCTTCTATTCTTATTCAATACAATTACTTCTAGATATCTACTTACAACAATACAATTACTTTCACACAACTACTTACAACAATACAATTAATTCTATTCTTATTCACAACAATAGCAGTTTTATGGAACATATTGACACTTGCTATTCGTAAAATTACAATGCAGCCATAAACAGCAAACAATATCTCAAACTTTGAAAATATCTATAAGAAATAATTTTTCCTCATTTTACATTCCTCCAAGGGTTACGCCCACTCTTTAAAAGCCCTGATTAGTGCATTGATGTTTTTAGGGACTAAAATATTATATAACGGCGTGTCCACAAGAAGACAGAAAATAAAAGTGCGCCAATTGTAAAAATGAAACCCCCGATTTTCTTCGCGTCCTTCTCCTCATAAGAAACGTCACTGCCCCCACCCTTTCCTGTTAAGAGTCACGAACATGCTCCCTCAATGCATGAGGCACTGCTGTGGTCGTCGTGCCCGATCAATTCCCTGACCAACCGCGTACGCCCGCCGGCCGCGGACCACGGACCACGCGCGTTCTCCTTGCCCTTTGCCACCATCTTTTCGCTCGCGAACCCTGTAACGCGCCCCTCACATGCGCAGACGTTAGCAGCCGGTCTGATCCGGTTGGAGCGGAGTACTGGCTAGGGGTGCGAGTCGTCTCAAAGAACGAGTTGTTGGAGGGGGGTTGGCACCAAAGTGTAGCAGTTGAAAGGGTAATAAAAAGAAGACAAATAACGAAACCCTTTGTTACTAGATAGATGTTGTAGACCACTGCTGGTGCTTCAACAGCACATACCTTTCTGCATTATTTTTAACTTTTGTAATTTTCTAAAATTCACAGAGTTCAATGAAAATGAGGCCTGTACTATTCTTTAAGCTTTTTTTGCTCTTTCCGTGGGAAATAATTAAAGAAAAAAAATTAGAAACGTTTCTAAAAAAATAACTACACAACGGCTACTGTCTACTGAATTAGAGGAAGTGATTTGCTACATACAGGAACAATATTTTATTTTTTCGTTGGCACGTATGTACATGTAATAATGTATTTCATGTTGAAGTAATTTATTGCAATGGCCTTCCTTTGTTATTGGAAAAGGAACATTCAAATATTGCATCATGGTTCAATATTTTTAATTTTTAGAA